CACTAAAGACCGGTTAAATCCGAACACCCAACAGTTCAGTCCAAAATGACTTTCATTTATCCTCTTCATTTAATTTCATATGTTTAAAATCTTTTTTTTCTTTTGGTTAACAATGTGTCTTCTGCTCCACATACCTGTCAAGTCTCCCGTTTTTAAACTACTGTTTTTCTCCCCCTTTCCCGCCGTACTCCCGTATTATTTCACATAAATATTCCGGACTGTGCCGCCTGCTCTCACGTTAGTCCCCCGGTCTTATGCTTATGTTACCCTATGTTCAGCAACAAGTTGGAGTTTTTCTTGAACTGGAAACAAACTGTAGCACTCTCAGTTTGAGGTTGGCTATTGTGCTGAACAATGGAGCACTGTTCTAACATTCTTATCCACGTATGGCATACCAAACGTTTTGCAGCTCTCCAACTCTGAAATAAAGGAAGCTGCATGTGTTCATCTCATGCTTTTAACTCAGGGAGCAGGCGAGTCTGGGGAGTAAATATACATTTCCCCAAATCACCATCCTTTTTAAATAGGGGTGCACCGATTGCAGTTTTCCGGCTGATCCTCGAGCTTTTAAAGGGCCTGATTGATACCAATTTGTTTCTTAAGTCGAGACATTGACAAAGTAGCTTTTTTTGAGACCTTTGCTGATCACAGATTCCCCAAAATTAAGGAAATTGGGTTAAATGTATTGCTGCAACCCTACATTTTAAACATATACTTTCTGTGAATAAATCAATTATTTACTATTGACACATGGTAGAGCTTTCTACCAGTGGTCAGGCCTTAAATATGGAACCTGTGGAAAAGCCAGACTCAGTGTTTGGTTATGAACCAAACAGAAGAACCGATGGACAGACGGATGGACAAAGTGATGGATAAACAAAAAGGCAACATGATGCGACTCAGGGATGGGTGGACAAACAAGAGGCTGGACAAACGGATGAACAAACGGGCGAATAACTGAACGGAAGAACTTTTATTTAATGGGATAGTGAATAATGTGTGAAAGTACAATTCAACTGGTTGTCCTTAGTACGTGGAAAACCCGTAAACTCCATATTGGTCCAGAATGAATGTGTGCATCAAGAAAAAGAAAAAAAAAAAGATCAGCCCATGTGGTACAGTATGGTAGTACAATATTTATTTTCCGTTTAAGTGTTACATATTGAGCAAGAAACTTACAGTTGTCTTCAGCCACAAATTGAATGCAGAGAAAAAGACCAATTCAGGAATGTGTCAGACACAAGAGAACTGGCTAACTCAATTGTACATATATATACATAATGTTTATGTACATATACGGATGTTGCACTAGACTTTAGAAGAGCTGAGATGATGATGATGATGAGCAGAAGTTGGTATGAAAAAAAAAATTAAAACACCTTCAGATGGGGACAGAGAGACAGGTGCTGAGAAAAAAAGAAAAAAAGAAAAAAAGATGACAGTAAGACAAGAAACGATCACAGAAAGAGAGGAAAGAAACAGAAACCTTAATGAACCCAATTGGTTTACCAACCCTGCTGCAGGAATGAAAACACACACACACACACACCCACACGCACATGCACACAGTGTTCTCATGAAACTGTATTCACAGGGCCGAATGAAAGTCTCTGACCGGTCTGAGAAGGGGCGTCGGTCGAATCATCGCCTATCAACCTAATTAGTCAACAGCAGGACAGTAAGACAAGAAAGATTCTTCTGTTTGTTTTGGTAGAGCGGCTACAGTATGTACAGTACAAACTTCATCTTGTTCTCACACACATGAATCGAGACTTCGCTGTCTTGTCTGCTGTGGGGGTTTGTGTGGGACACAGTGGAGCTTGGGAGGGGGCCTGCAGAGTAAAGAGAGGGAGTGGTGCTTCATGTCTCAGCAGCAGCCTCCTGATGAAGGCTTAACAGTAGTGCCTGGAGTCAGCTTCACATTGGGCTTCTCTCCTCCTCCGGCTGTGGCCCCGGGGCCCATCCTCTTCTTGATTTCGGCGGCCATGGTCATGAAGGCCTGCTCCACGTTGGTGGCGTTTTTGGCGCTGGTTTCCAAAAAGGGGATTCCCAGAGAGTCTGCGAACTCCTGCAAACACAACGCTGGGTTTAGCAAAGTGGCAAATCGGGAGAGGAGAGAAACAGATGGCTTTCATTTAATAGAAATCTGCTGTTGTAAAAAGGACTCCACATCTAAACACAGTAGATTAAAATCTCCTTCATGTGGCTCGCTGTAAACTGGTCCAACACAGAAAATGTTCTCCATTCGTCTCTTCTTTTCTGCACTGCATTCCCATAACGTGCAATGCGGAGAGAAAGGGGCTGATCACAGCTCTCTCTGGAAACTTTTGGCCATTTTTTAAACTTTTACAGCAACACAACCTGATGGATTATTGACATTTCCATCTTATTCGAGACCTGGCAAACATGTAAACCAGATTCCAAACTTCTCCACCCTTTTCCAGACAGTCCAGGAAGCCTCCCCGTTTCTCCACCACTTATCTCTTCTGCTGCTTCCTTCTAGACATTCCAGCTCCTGGCTAACTCAATAATTTCTATTCACATCAATAGCCTGCATGTGGATGACTAAATTCCATCTGCATCACACTGTTCCTTCTGTATGTTCAATTTTGTATGTCAGACTGTACTGACCCTGGCGTTACGCTCTTCAGAACTCGGCCCTCCCCGCCATGACGGAGGTCAAAACATCTAATGAGCTCTTGTAAAGCCCGTCAAAAAAACAAAAAAAAAAACACATCAGGTAGTCTGACATCGCTTTTACTTAGTGGATTTCACTTTAAAAATGGTCGTAGGATGCTGCAAGGTCGGCGACATAAACATACAAAACCAAACTTGTCATTTTATTGTATAACTTTTAATGAGGAAAGATACGGTGGCAATAGCAGCAGTCAATCATAATGACTGGCACGTTTGCAGTGAAGGTAGAGCAAAGAGGAAGCTTGGGTCAGTTTCTAAACTAGCCATTTCAAACTTATGTAAATACCATCTATAAGCCCCAACCAAGTGTGCTACATTGACAGACAAATTAGCTTCACTTGAACAAGTAGAATTTATGGTTAAACTGGCAAAAACTACTTGGGAAAACAATTTCCCTCTCTGCGTTACTCCCGTCCCTCATTTCTGACATCCATTATGGCCCCTACAGTGATGCAGTTGCATAGGGTCAATACAAAGGACCTTACAGACTTCTGGTTTCATGGCAACACATCATATTGACAACACTCAGGTATCGTTTATCCAGTTGAGAAGAACAGAAGTGATGGAAATGTCGCCGCTCGTTGCATGTCAGGCCTCCCACAGTAGTACTGTTTATGCTGACGGTCAACACAACGACACCAGACGCCCACTTAGTTTTAACTGAACAACAACCAGATGTTTGACCTGCTCTAAACCATGACTGTCATTCAGATATGAAATGGTGCCATAACATATTTTGGAGATGCTACCATTTTCTGTTAACACAACATTTTGCCACAAAAATATAAATAAAGCCAGAAACAAGTTTAGCGGAAGACGTCCTTCTCTAAGAGGCTCTGCATCTTGAACTCTTGCACAAAGTTTCCAAATCTATGCGCAGATCTGGGAAGCACTAGTAATGAGGTACCTACCTTTGCTGTTGTATAATCCACCACTTTCTTTGTTGTCAGGTCACACTTGTTCCCAACCAATAACTTGTTGACATTTTCACTGGCATAGCGGTCAATCTCCTGTAGCCACTGTTTGACATTGTTGAAGGACTCCTGAGACACAAAGCAGATCAACGTTAGGCCACTCCAGCAGTGGAGGCCGGTTTAGTTCAACACTGCTCAGAAACTGGTTTAGTTCAACATGAGGCCAGGTAGCTCCCAATACATTCTCATATGAATGACAGACTGTAGTCTGAGCAGCTTCCATGTTCTAAAAGATGGTCAAGATGCTGTGGGGATGGATTTCTACTACAACTGCACAGCATTACGCTTCTATCATCCTGTTTCACAGTAGAGAAGGCGAGTTATGTTGGGTTTGCAGTGATAGCTGTTCACCTTTAATAGTGTTATTTAGGTCTCCTCTGACCACTGGAGGTGGCCTCTCCATGGGAATGTGCTTTTTTTTTTTTTTTACCAACAATGGCTGGTATTGTGTTTTATGTGTTTCCCTGCTTTTCTACACCTAATTCAGCTGATTGCAGTTCAGCAAACACCTGTCAACTGAAATCACCTGGGCTGAAGCAAGGAAACATCCAAAATATGCAGGGCAGTGTGCCTTGAGGACCAGGGTTAGGAAACAGTGCTCTAACAAACCTCGACAGAAAATGTGTCATTAGCCTCAGATTAAATCACTCACCGGTGAACTCTCCTTACTAATTAAGGGATTCTGAGCCAGTTGGTTGCACACAGTGCTTAATTTGAGTCAGTTATACTGGATTGCATTCAATGGTATCACAATGAACGGGGCTCAACAAAAATGAAAGCACGTTACACTTTAAAATAGAATGACATCTGAAAACCACATCTCTTTTCCCTTCCAAGGTAAGTTTTAGATGACCTTACGATGGCTTGATAATTCTATTCAGGTTTTGTGGTTGGTACAGAACGAAAAGTGGTTTAAGAGCTACGAAAACTTTTACAAACCATCATCTGGATGTTTTATGATCAACCTGTTGTCTATCATAAGAAGCAACGTTACCAGTAAGTGCTTACAAGAAAATATCTCTGGGACTTCAGAAGGAACCTTGGAGCTTCCACAAATAAAAACATGACTTCTCACAGCAATCCTCCATTTAGCAATAGAGGATTGTTAAATTGCAATAGATTTAACAATGTATTAGCTTGTTAAGATCAGCTATCAAAAATGGAGTAGCTGCCATTTGAGCGACATCCATCCACGTAGTGAAATGTCAGTGTAAAGCAGGACCAACCTGATCTGTGACATCGTAGACTACAATGATACCATGAGCACCTCTGTAGTAGCTGGATGTGATTGTACGAAACCTCTCCTGTCCCGCTGTATCCCACTGTTGAAGAAAAACAAACAGATGAACACTGGGAACAGAAATACTTGTTGATTTTATTTGAAAATGTACAAAGCCATTAAACTACACAATTATACAAGAACATAAAAATGATTGCCCTAAACTTAGTTAACATTTGTCCAGAGCTTCCTTTGAGTCCTTCGAACCACCTCGGATCATTTGTGGTTTCGCCACTTTAAATTGGAACTGAAGCGGCGGTCTTGCTTGTTTGACATTGTTGCTACTTTTTACTTGTACATTGATTTCTGACTCAAACAGACATCAAACCAGTCTTAATATGTCAGGCGTTAAACCTGACTTTCAGCTGCTGACCCCTAGGCAGGGCGTCCCCTAGCGAATGAAAATGATATGGAAAATTATGAATCAAAATTTTATATGTGCAAATTTAACGAGGTTATTTATGTGTGTGTATGTGTGTGTGTGTTTTAAAGTGCAATTAGAGCTGCTTCAAACTAAAGCACGAATTGGCTGCATTATCTAGTTTCAGTGGTTTAATGTTATTTTTTTATTAATTTTGATCTTTTTATTTCATTAAACTTTCTAACCACAAATGATGGTCTGCAACACAAATGCATATCTCAGTGAAATGAAATAATAATAATTTAAAAAAATCCACATAATAAGAGTTCTGCATGAGTTTTTACTGCTGAGAAACTCTACAGGGAGTTTTAAATCTGCTGCGTTTTATCTGACAACTTTCTGCTTTTACAAGCAAGCTTGACTCTGCTTTAAATTGCAGCATTTGAAGTCCAACACTCAGTCTATGTTTGTTGGTTTTATTGTGCCGCAGCTCCTCTGCTGTAACCGACACCGTCGACCAGGCCCAAGCTCACACCATTAAATATACAAACAAATAAATAAGTAAAAGGGCGTTGTCGTATGCTGCAGTACATTTGGACTTTGGGGTTGGGGGGATTGAATATGACTGCTTTAAATAGTGCCAGATGAAATTATTGGTCAATTCAGAGTAAAAAAAAAAAAAAGTTATATTTTAAAATGCTTTTTAATTTTTACTATTTTACCATAGAGGAAACTATGCTTACTTGGTATTTGGCACCCTGACAGAAGTGAGGTTGTCGTTTCGCGCCATCGGCCCTTCTGACTAAGCCTGTTACGGTAAATACTGCGGCCTCTGTAAGTGAACATGGCTTTTAAGCATTGAAAGAACAGAAATGGATTGCTGATGTTAGCTTGCATTGATAACTGCAGTTAGCCTGGTCACTTATGGTTCTTTTCCACTACAACCAGAGGCGGCTCAACTCTACATAGATTAACTTAGGTTTTTTTCCATTACAATGAAGTAAGAGGTCTAGTGCGTGTGGTGGTCATGCAGTTGGGTGGTCATGGAGTCTGGAGCGCTATGTGATCTGTACAGGACACAGCTAGGGACATAAAGCCATGTTGAACATTCTACTCAGACAGAATTTTTTTGTCAGATTATTGTCACTTTATTACGAGTTTTTCTGAATGGCGGCTCGAGTTATTGTAAGAGAGTTGCTCTTGTGATGCAACTAGTTAATCCACCTCTTAGCCAATCAGTGACCAACAGTCTTCTGAGTAGGGCTGCACAATTTTATCAGTTCTATGATATTTATCAATATTTTTTTTTTCCCTCAGAAAGTATAGATTTTTCATCTGCGAGTATCAATACATTAAGTTCTAATTTGAGTTCTATGTCAAATCCACATCAATTAAATGACAGCTATCACACATGACATTTTTACCCAGCTGCACATGTATGAATGAAACAACCAGTTACAAATTAAATAATGAAATTAAATTACATTATCTAATATAAGGGAATAAGACAAAAAAGGTTCCTTTTCTGCATAACCAAATACACAAAGCCACACAATTACCATTTAAACAAAGTAAATGTTTAACAAAAACATTTATTACACCAGTATTACACCATCAGTTCAATTAACTCAATCCAAGTCTAAGGAACAGTCACAAAATGCCACCAAAATCACTCTGTCCCTCTAAAATCTTTCAGAAAATCTTAAAAATGTATCAAATTGTATTGTTCGCTGAACATTGTGATTTATATCTTACTGTGAGCAGAATATTACGTATTGTATTGTTTAGTGAGATTACTGTATCGCTACAACCCCACTTCTGACATCATGTTTCAGCCAGACTCACTGCATGCGAGTGAAGTGGGTTCCAGAAAAACCATGTAATGGTTACTAGTGGAAAATCCTTCTAATCATGGAGAGCAGAACCCAGCAGCTCTGAGTAGGTGCTGGCCCAAAAGGACAAACTGTGATTACAGACAGTAAAGCCTGAAAATGGTAATGAGATAGAGATACTGTACACTGGTCATAGTGGAAACACCGTGTGGCATAAACATGGGGACGTTCCTGACAATCTGTGCATAAAAGTGTGCATTCACACCAGATTTCTTTGGTCCACTTTAATCAAACTCGAGTTGTGAATGCATAATCGAACTCTGATGCGGACTGAAAAAAGCGAACCCTGGTCTGCCTACAAAACCCAGGTATGTGTTCGGTTGAAGTGGACCATGGTGAGCTTCTAATGAATATGTGAACACCAAGCAGACTGGAAACTGCTCCAAAAGCAGGAAGTTGACTACAGCGCAGGGCATTCTGGGTAAATATAAACAAAACAAATGCCATTGCTAGCAGGAGAAATGGCTCATGGTCTTTTGCCAAAGACAGAAGAGACTACCAAATCTCACACCACTACATTTTTGTTTGTATCCTTGAAGAAGGGACCTTCAACGGTTGTTGGTGCAGGGCCACCATAAGCGAGGGGATCGATTTTTTAATTAGTTTGGTTTGTTTGACAGTGTGAAAAAGAAATGCAACAGCTGAAAATTTAACAAATGTTGCAACTTTGCCCCCAGTCGCAGTCTACCGGGCTATCAGGTGTGAAAACACATCATAACTGCTTCCAGCAATACAAATTAAATAATGAACAACAGATATTCACCAAGAAAAATCTACAAACTAGAAATAACCTGTGGGATGCTTACAATCTGAAGTTTAATGGTCTTTCCATCAAGTTCTATGGTTCGTATTTTGAAGTCCACACCAATAGTGCTAATGTAACTTTCTGTGTATGTGTCATCCTAGAGGGAGAGAGAAAGAGAAAAAGAGCTGGTCAGACGGTTCACATATCCTGTTCACTTCCTTCCATGTTCTGAATGTGCTTTTCTGGAAAACTCACTGCAAACCGGAGAAGAAGGCAAGACTTTCCAACACCAGAGTCACCAATCAGGAGCAGTTTGAATAAATAGTCACTGTGAAGGAGGGGATAAAAACATGGTTAGAAGTGCTAACTAAGCAAGTTACACATTATTCACAGTTAACGGCAGCCACAAAGGAATGATTCTAGATGCCCGGGTTCTTCTTGATCTCTCAGATCAACCGTTTTGTTTCTATGAGTTTGCAGAGTAAACTCCAGTTGAGACTGGATTTTACTTTTACCGGGAAACATAACATTCATGGCAGTGAAACTGTAGAGAGCTCTAGCACATCTCCAGAGGAAGTTCGGTCAAGCTGACTGGTCCCTGATCATGTGACTGGACCGGTGAAGTCAACAGAAAAATCTTGGGAGGGCCAAGAAGACAGAAGCAGCACACATTGGTCATATGTTGCAACAGGGACTGCAGCCCCTGTTTACTGGGATCATGTAACAGTTGGGTCAACTATTCCCAAAGTATCAAGCAAATGAAGGGGGTACTTTCCCCCTAATCAGTAAGCCTGGTTACTGATACAACCTGTGCTGCTGACTATGGATCAGTGCTGCTCACAGGATGCATCCCTGAACTTTTTATGCTGACTCAAAGAACGCAAGTTAAGTTCCTCAGTCTGTAGGCTGGAAACGGTGATATAGGATGGCACAATGTAGCAAACTGCAATCTGTGTTGCAACATTAACATGGGCACTATCACAATCCAGGGTTTCCCCCAGTGTATTACAAGCCTGGCGGGCCACCAGGCTTTACTTGTGGCCCCACCAGGTTAAGTATTGTTTATTTATTTGGTTTCTTTTGAAATGTTTGGATTTTTTAAGACTTTATTGTTGGTGTTCAGATATTAATCTTCCAATAACACATAATTATCAAGTGATATTTTCAAAATGTCTGTCAACTTTAAGCATTGTTTAACTCAAAAACATGGCGGGCCGCTGGATGAATGACTGCCGAGCGCCGCAACCACCGGGCTTAGCCCTGGGGGGAAAGCTTGCAATCTCAAAGGACTGTTTGGATGCAATGTGAGGTATGTTATAATATGTCAATAAGACACTTGAAAATGTCCTGCAGGACTTTTAATGACCTACATGATAAAGCTAAAGATGAACCCATAACAGATTTTCAATTAAATCTCAGAAGTTAGAAGAAAAATGTGGGTTAAAAGCAAAGTTGTCATGACAAATTCTGAATTTCTACCGTGCCAACTAAGGCATAGGGCAGGGCCTGCTGTTATTATACCCAGATTAGCCCATTCGGTGAGGAACACCCTGCAACAAGGTGGCAGACAGCCAACAGTCAAGTCTAAACCAACTCCTGCTCTTCTAGCAGTAACCACAGGAAGCTGCTCTTTCCTAATAATTACTTTATGGCAACTGTTTAACCTGTTAGTTTCATTACTTTGTTTTACTGAGCAGCTGGAGAGAAATGAAAACAATATGCCCCCATCCGTCTGAGTAATATCTCATCTTCCCAAAGAGGATCCACTCTCCAGTGTCATTGTAAAGAATCCCAGTCATTCCCTCTTCATTAGGCGTCTCACTGGGAACAATGGTTTTTCATACTGAATACTGACCAATCACTGTTCTGTGGGAGTTTAGGAACATGCAGACCAAAACCAGCCGAATGAAGAAAAGCTGTGCTTTCTTGTTTTACTGTTCTCAGCTGAATCTCAGTTCTTCAACTAATATAAACTTCCCGAATCATGTCTGAGGAATATTTAACTGAGTGGAACAGGGAGCCGACGTAAACAAGCTATAGAACAATCTTGGATCACATCCAAGATCAGATTGTTCCCAAACTTCTCCGTTCCACCTTTATGAATGGAAACCTAAAGAGACAGGAAGCTCAACTGCCTGATTACTCAACACTGCTGTGAGGAAATCCAGGGCCCGTCCTGTGACATGTGACCCACACATGACTGAGAGGCTGTGGAGAGCTGTTAGAGCATATGACTGAAAACTGAGTCATTTACAACACCAGAACCAGCTTTAAAAAAAAAAAAACAACTGTTATCCTGACATAAACAATGGACAACTCCTGCTGCAAACCTGCTTAGCTGCTTCACATTGATACAATGTAATAATCATCATCCATCCACAACTAGCTTAGGCATCTAGAACAACCAGAAGTTGGCTTCTGATTCAGCACTACAGTAAAAAGCTATTCTAGTGCTTATATTTTATCTTCTTGTTCAGCACTTTGTTTGAAGTTACTATTATCATTATGAGGAATTTGGACAACATTTGTTGTAACCTGGTTCAAATTCCAAAACAGACCGGTTGAACCTGTACTGGATTATTCGACAGTAATGGGGAGTTTCTTGAAAGAATGGCACATTAGTTCAATAGTAATTCAGTACAGGTTGGACTGGTCCAAGTGCTGTGGATTTTAAAGAAGACTCATTGCTCAGAATAATAATAATAATAAAAAACACAGTTTAAACATATAATTTAAAGAATCTGTAAACAGAAATACAGCCTGGCCCAGTTTGACCAGAATAAGTAAGTTTTCAATCCTGCCTTGTTGGGAAAACATTAAAATGGTTATTTGGGTTTTCACAAGACGTTCACCGATGTTTTTTTTTTGTTTTGTTTTTTTCGATTTCCAGTTTTCCTTCTCAGGAAAGAGAAAACTACAATGAAAAGGAAGTAATTCTTTTTATTATCCATCAAAACTGTATCTTTAACCACAGTTTTACTAAACTCACACAAGTGCAGTAGAGTACTTGCAGCTAACTGGTGCTAGTAAACACCACAAATTGGTGGAAGTTCTTGGTTTTCGTCTGTTTAATGAAAAAGAGAAATAAAAATCCCACAGTTTCAGTGACTGGTTGATCGGAAGGAATCAATGGAAAATAAGTCAATTCCCATTTCTAGACGACTTACTGATGAATAATTAAGATTTCACAAATAGAACAAAAAAACAGTTTTAGGAATCACAAGCTTTGTTTCTAAGAATCTATACAGCGTGAGAATCAGTCCAAGTCAGGTTTGATCCTAATAACTGTTCTAGATCTTGAGGTAGACCTGATCAAAGTTGGCCCAGATTCACCAAAAGCAGCTGCATATGCCCTTCGTAGTCGAGTCAGAAGCACCAAATTGGTTGCTAACTTCTTAACAAGCTTTTTATTTCAACTTTATAAAATCCGACTTAAACCCAGCGTAGATGATAGCTGGATCTTTTAAGCTTGTGAGACCAGCCGTCCAGCCAACAGGAGTTAACGTTCAAGCTAACTCTTCAATATGGCACCTTTGTCCCGTATTTACAACTTAAGAGTGAAATCTGGCCAGTCAACACAGCTGTCAGTGAAGCCCACCAGCCGTCGCCCAACAGCTGCTTAATAAGCCATTAGTGGATAGCCGACACAATGTTACATAAAGCGGTGCAATGTTCTGTATGCACACAGGTGTACATGAAGGCCACAAGTCAGCTGATGTTCCACGTTCACTCCGCTCTTCACATATTTTCCAGCGCTGACTTGTTAGCACAGAGCTAACCTTAACTAGCAGTCCTCAGCATTTTAACTCGGGATACTTACTATTCGGGATTCATTGTCGACTCGTAGTGTCACCGTCCGCAGATAAGCAGGGCTGTCTTGAGGAAAAACGGGGACGACGACCAGCTTGTACCGCTCCCCGAAGCGCGACCCGGCTGCCTGTTTTCTCAGTAAAAATCCAAAATGGCTGCAACTTCAACCAGGAAACGGCTAACATCAGCCAGCTGCTAGGACGGAAGCGGGAAATAACACCACAAAATGCGTGGTTAGGCTTCAGTTGGGTTGAACAGACGCGTCGGTCGTTGTTTAATAAAACGGCTGAACGAACAGGCGGCTGGTGGTAGATGTGTCACTGACTGGCTGGTTAGTATGCGGCTACTGCAGCAGGGAACTGTCGAGCCCTAACCGGAGAGATTACATCATTTAGTGAAACGTGGCAGAGCTGAGTCA